TTTTTTTTTCATCATTGACGCGGAATAGGCCTAGCGTGCAGTCTGCTGCGGTCAGTCTGACGCATAGAACGAGATTTCCCTCGTTTTCTTAAGCTACAAACTTAACCCTTAACCGGACTCTCTTCGAGCTCGTCAAACAGAATATATGAATAATTTGTTGTTTCTTTCATTTAAAAAAAAAATTCTATAAAATTATTCATTGCGTTTGTGCTTTATCTAGTGTATATCCATGAAATTATGAAAGTATACTATTATAATATTTTTAAAATATCTGCGTTTAATATCCTCCAATTCAAAAACATCTTGATGTTTTATCTAATGGCTTAAAGACTTTGTTTTTCTAGAGTTAAGCGAAACCTTCCATTCTCGTGAATATCAAGATTCAAGGATTCTTCATGCTAGAGATTTCTTAGAAAACTGGACTTCGTGTAGAATCTCATATTTTTTTCTTCTTCTTCTTGTTCTTTAGTCGTTCGATCTATCGCGTTTCAACGGCATTCTATCTTTCTGTGTTGCATCAGGAAGAGCCATATAACGATAAATCTTTTATTTTCTAGCGATTTTCTGCGACATCAATCGTCTGTGGAACAAAGCAATAATTTACGCCAGTGAATAGTTACGTCGATTCTTTCGTACAAGTTTTGTAAAACCAGGATGTTCTCTCGAGATCATTTCCCAAGGAACGTATTCTCTGCGTCTTAAACTTCACTAAATGCGAAAAATACCTCTTTCTCAAATGTCAAACATTTTCCGATTGGTTTTTTGTAACTGTAGCCGTTCCCTCCCAAATGTAGATGACTATATTAAAGAATTAAGTTCAACCAATGTACGAACGTTCTATCTCCAAATCGGGGACTTTCGCTGAGTTCACATTCTCATGGTTAAGCACGTTTTCTACGAGCGGTAATTCTCTGAATCACCTATGTTCGTAAGACTATCATTCGCATCTGTTCACGCTTCTATTTCTCGATTCTAACTTTCTCTACCTTCTCTAGCTTTTCACCTTCGAAGATTAATATCGGTTGTGAATGGATTTTTTCCAATGTCTTTCACCTTTAAATAATAATAATCGTAGATAGGCTGCAATAATTCAGGTCAGATTATCAAAATTTTAGGATATTTGATCTTACTTTATATTCTCCACGATCGAAGATTAATAATAAAATTAATTTACCAAGTAATTAAATAATTTATTTATCAATGGTTAAATATTACTATGTTTGTAATACGCATAGCTAGGCTTATTCCCATCGGCTACTGTTTTTCCTATTAATTAATTGGAAAGAAAGGGAAGTTAAACAGAGTATTTATATTGAGAAATGTAGGGAAAAATGATAATCCAAATTTATCGTAGGCGGAGCCATAAAATTATGCTGAGCGTGTTACGTTCCCACCGATCCAATACGTTTCGTCATCCGTTTGAACCAGTATTACGATGAACGTGCAATAAACCGTGACACGGGAAAAGGAAAAGTAAAAACGTCCCGTTGACCGTTCGCACGTGACTACATCTACTTGAACCAAGTCCGGTTGATAAGAAGCGTATACTAGCAATGGCTATATATACGTGCGCGTACAGTGTGTTCGTGTTTGCGTTTGCGACTGCGCGATAAACAGCCATTGATGATTGTAGGATAACCAACACTCGCGTTACTGTTTTACTGTGTGTGTCTCTTTGCATTAATACCTGAAGTGCACAGACTAATTACGCGAGCGCTGATATGTGTCTGTGCATAGATAGATGTCGTGTTATGAATATAACGTGCTTGTGGAAATTTCCAGGCAATATGAAACTACGCTTGTACTTTAACCTGGCATTATGTGATCGATGAAAATTCACACGCAGAAGGATCGATTAACTTTCGGGTTTGTTTGAGTAAATAAAGTACGGGTAGAGATTTACAGAGGAGATATCAATTATAATTTTAATTTTACCAATAGATCGAGTCAATTTTTCGGCCAGTACGTTAGATATTTTTGTTGCATACGTGTTCAAAATGTAATGTGGAATGTTATATGCTATCATCCTTTTTAATTTTTTCAAAAGTATCGCGAATCACGATGAAAA